TGTATAAATACCTAAATTTATTATTATATTTTCCCTTTTCCAATAATAAAATTTTAAGACCCTTAAAAGAGTCATCCGTAACGAAATTCGTTACCTGACAAAGTGATAAAATTTTAAGACCCCTAAAAGAGTCATCAGTAACGAAATTCGTCACCTGAAAAAGTTAAGTGTGTACTTTGTGGCTCTCGGAAGTGTCAGGTGACAACTGGAGCGAGCCACTAAGCCTAAACACATGAAGTCAACAAGTACCGACTCTATACTCATTCTCACGATAGTTACACCACTTTCGTACACAATATTGTTTCATACAAGGTTTTTTTAAGCTTATAGTAATATTGTTTGCTATACTAATTCATAGAAGTATTACTTCATACTAGGGTACCTAAGCACTCTCTGTCTACTGGTGTTTTTAAATTAACTTTTGAAACTAAATTATACGCTCTCAAGTTTTATTTTGAACACAAAACATAAAACTTATAATATAGCATGTAAGACAGAGAAGGTTCAGCAAAAGCTTCGCGCAAGGTGCATTGCTTTGTGTGGCGTTCTAGTTAGTAGCCTACTGCCACTCATCGAGTGCAGAAGTTAATTACTGATTTTAAAGTAACTTGCTGCATAGTGACTTAATGTTCTTTCTTTTCTTTGTCTTTTTTTGTACAAATAATATAAAATAAATTATATAAAACCAATAGAAGAAGAAGTTTAAGGTATTTAAACCAATATCTAATAATAGTCAGTAATCCAGTTACTGAAGTTGCCCAGTATTCGAAGCTGCTACAGGAAAAAAAAGTACGTTAACACGATTGTTCTGTGCAACTTTCTCTCTTTGCCTTCTTGTAACCAAACAAATAGTTAGACTTTCTGCTGGTTCTGCAGCCTGGAAAGGAGCATGAAATTACACTCTATAACCTTCAGTTCCAAATTAAAGGCAAGATTAAATGATAATAATAATTATTTAATAACATTAAAATAAATTTACTTTATGACTGAAAGCACTATCAGTTTTCAGAGCTTTACGATTTCTGTCACACATTTATAAAATTAAAAATATTTACATCCAAAGTACTTACAGGTGATTCCAAAATAAAAAGTATTTATTGACTTATTTATGAATCATTTAAGAGGCAAGTTTTAGTATTAGCTTTAAGATTTTCTAGTCATAAGACTTTTTGATGATTCGTATCCCTTCTGCTGATTTGTCTGAACGAATTCGTCATCAGCATCTAGTAAAGTTGTTATTTTTAATAACTTTCGAATTCCTTGTTTTCAAAAGTACAACTGAAAGGTTACCTTTGTGTTCGCATATTATCCTTACCTCTACCTTTTTATCCCTTTTTTTTATAGACCTCCTGTTATCTTCAAGTACTGGAGTCTTTCACGCGAGCTCCTAGTAAAAAGATTCAAAAAATTTTGTAAAAAAAGCTCTGAAATTAAATGAATTGTTTGTTCCATTAATTACAATCAAAGGTTAGTTATTATATAGCCTTGACACATAGCTGTCTGACATAGCGTTCCACAGCATCATCCAATTGCAGTATTATCAATACATATATATTGTTACTTTCCTTTTATGTTATATATTTTAAAGGCGAAATTGAAAACAATTTATTTCGAAAAACTACTGAGTATTATCATAAAGACATTTTTTTTAAATATTTATTTCCAAATACTGGATAGTAATACCTTTTACTAAAATAAGTTTGATTTGTTAACAATACCGATGCCAAGCACGACTAATAATCGTAATTAGTAGTACGACTCAAGACTATCAATGAAAAGAAGTACCATACACGGACAAATTTTATTTAATAAAAGCTACCTCCTATTGTCTCCAATTGTATTATGTGCATCACTCCTATCTATGGTGTACGTGTCTCAAAAAAAATCAAAAATATGTTTTTTGAGTTATTCTTTCGATTAGGCTTTCTATAAAAGTGGTATATTAATGCAGATCAAGAGATATATAATCACTTCGAAAAGTTTTTTCAAACTCATGTCGAGCTAAAATAAGATACATCGTCATAAATAATGTTTTTTTGTTTATTCATAGATTAAGTGTACATTTATTTAAATGTTTTGATCAATGACATTTTCTATTATGTTTTCTTAAAACATGTAAGATCATATATATAGGAATGATCTATTTCATTTTAATAAAGAAAGTCAATTTATTATTTCACTATTGTAAGTAAGCTTGTATCATGACAGTTGTAATAAATTAGGAATCTTGATAGTTTTTGTAGAAGTCGTTTATACACTTTGCTTGGCTTCAACACTACAAGATTCTTCGCAGCTCTGGCCACTTTGCCTAAAATTTTTATATAAATAGCTATTTATAGCTATATATCGAGTCATTAATCATGTCCCTATGAAGCCACTATTCCTCAGATAACAACTACTACTGTTGTTTAATAAAAATAAAAAAACACTTTGCTTAAATATATTGTAACGAGACTGGTTTGTAGAACACAAACAATGTTTAACCTAAATAAGATTTCCAATCTGTTGAGTTTGCTGCAACTGCTTTAATTGTAATTGATTTTAAAAAATAAACAAGAGGCTAAAATTATGCAAAAACTGCGTTTAAGGTATGACTGATACGAGAGAATATATTACTGTTATTACCACACTGTGTAAGAAGTTGGTACTGTTCGGTGTAGGGTTGGTAAAAAATGTACACATTTCCACGGAATGAAAAAAAGAAAGCCTTAGAACACAATGATTATCGCCCTTAACTTTGCATTGAGTGTCGATCGTATGTGTTCTGAACAAGCTAGTATTATATCGTTTTTTGCGATTTATGGCGTTAATTTTATCTTACAGACATAAATTTTAGTTAAAAAAAAAGTTATTTTTTCTTAAGATCTATAAAAACTAACTTTGTAATCTGAAATGTGAATTAAAAAAATGAGTTAGTAAGATAGGGGGAACCGATAAATTTACAATTTTTCGGCATTTTTGCGATTTAGAGCCCAAATTTAATATTATAACTAAATATGTAAAGTACAAAAAAGTTGCGTTAAACTATTGGAAAAAGTTCTTAACACCTCAGACTTTTATATAAAAAAGGGTAAGAAAGTTCTAAAGTCAACGTCTATGTAATAGAAGCTGCAAAAATGAGATTTCTGAATGTTTTTAGATACAGTAATGGCGTTTTGGCTTTTTTTTAATCTTATGGCCAAGAAAAAGAGCATTGATTTGATCTTGAACTTCGTTTTCAAAAAAATTGGTTTACACTGTTAAAAAGTAGTTTCAGCTCAAAATAATTTAATCCGTCGTCATTTAACAGAGTCTTTACAAAATATCGCAATTTTAGTGAAATGACCCAGGTACGCACTAAAAAATTAAAACCTATGCTGACCTGGAATGGTTATTGGGACCTGAGGTCAAACTAAAATGATGCCAGCACTTACATTGTCCTAGCACCAAACTACCTGTAGTAAAAAATTCCAATATTTCTGCCTAACTCTATGCAAGCCGCACTATTTTTAGATGTTAATACTTGTAAAGAATAGTTATTTGTTTTATAACTTTTTAAAATTAAAACCTATGCTGACCTGGAATGGTTATTGGGACCTGAGGTCAAACTAAAATGATGCCAGCACTTACATTGTCCTAGCACCAAACTACCTGTAGTAAAAAATTCCAATATTTCTGCCTAACTCTATGCAAGCCGCACTATTTTTAGATGTTAATACTTGTAAAGAATAGTTATTTGTTTTATAACTTTTTAAAATTAAAACCTATGCTGACCTGGAATGGTTATTGGGACCTGAGGTCAAACTAAAATGATGCCAGCACTTACATTGTCCTAGCACCAAACTACCTGTAGTAAAAAATTCCAATATTTCTGCCTAACTCTATGCAAGCCGCACTATTTTTAGATGTTAATACTTGTAAAGAATAGTTATTTGTTTTATAACTTTTTAAAATTAAAACCTATGCTGACCTGGAATGGTTATTGGGACCTGAGGTCAAACTAAAATGATGCCAGCACTTACATTGTCCTAGCACCAAACTACCTGTAGTAAAAAATTCCAATATTTCTGCCTAACTCTATGCAAGCCGCACTATTTTTAGATGTTAATACTTGTAAAGAATAGTTATTTGTTTTATAACTTTTTAAAATTAAAACCTATGCTGACCTGGAATGGTTATTGGGACCTGAGGTCAAACTAAAATGATGCCAGCACTTACATTGTCCTAGCACCAAACTACCTGTAGTAAAAAATTCCAATATTTCTGCCTAACTCTATGCAAGCCGCACTATTTTTAGATGTTAATACTTGTAAAGAATAGTTATTTGTTTTATAACTTTTTAAAATTAAAACCTATGCTGACCTGGAATGGTTATTGGGACCTGAGGTCAAACTAAAATGATGCCAGCACTTACATTGTCCTAGCACCAAACTACCTGTAGTAAAAAATTCCAATATTTCTGCCTAACTCTATGCAAGCCGCACTATTTTTAGATGTTAATACTTGTAAAGAATAGTTATTTGTTTTATAACTTTTTAAAATTAAAACCTATGCTGACCTGGAATGGTTATTGGGACCTGAGGTCAAACTAAAATGATGCCAGCACTTACATTGTCCTAGCACCAAACTACCTGTAGTAAAAAATTCCAATATTTCTGCCTAACTCTATGCAAGCCGCACTATTTTTAGATGTTAATACTTGTAANGACCAAGTTTCTGAAGATCGAAAACATAACTCATCGACACAAGAATTTTACCGTAAGAATAGATATTACAGACTACAATGTAATTCAAGTAAAGTAAACGTTAAAACTCACCACGCTCTGGAGTATTTTCAAATGTGTGAACAACGTATATAAATTACTTAATTTTTAAGCACGACTCTAAAGATACGTGTAACAGTGTAAGCAATAATAAAGTTAAATAAACGTTTAGCTGCTATCTAACATTTATGAATGAAAAAATTCTGAAAGAATAAGTTTAAATATGTTTATATTTTAACTGTTGAAGCGTTCATTATTTTTTTTACACTGTGATGTAGATTACAATTTTTTCATTACTTAAAATGACATTGTCTCAGCTGTTATCGTGTAGTTGTTTACACATATTTCTTTTTTTTTAATTTGCACATTTTTTTAATCTTATAAAAATATATGACAAATAAATAGTTTTTGATTGTGAATTATTCATTCTATTTTTCTAATTTCTACTGTTCTGTTACATGAAAAAATAAAGAAGCTCCACAATGATCAAATTTTCTTAGTTTGTTTATTTTTTTGTTAGTAGTGACACAGCTCTATTTTCCTCTAATGTTTTTTCTAGACCTAACGATTTGACTTCTTTATATTTGTAAGAAATATAATGTCGTTCATGGTTTGTGTAGCACAGTAAATGCCCAACTCCTTCATAGTTTTCTGATTCTTCTTCATGACTAACAACATCCGACACTGTTTTTCCTAAAAAATAGAAATAATAATTAAGACAATTTCCTATATGCAATGGTATGTAGAGTACAGAAAGTTGTTAATCTTTAAAAAATTAAAATAGAGACTGTAATATAGTATGAATAAAGAAAACTATTTTACAAGCAAAAAATTCTACTGAATCATTGTTTAACAGGGTTAAGTACATTTCAAACCAGTTACTTTATAACTCAGTGGTTAAGAGTTTGCGTGACAAAAATTGTTCTTATGTTCGTTGTCGAATTTAAACTATCACTCAGCTGGTACGAAAGAAAAAACCAAAACAGCACAGCATATATATATATATGATTCAAGTTCACAAAAATTACACTATAGTAAATATTCAGATAGAAATTAGAGTAGCGAAATGACCGTCTTTTTGAAAATTGGTCGGGTTAGTAATTTCTGACGGTCCACCAACAGTCACTGTCAGAAAGTAGTTTTCTGTTGCAAAATGACGGTAATTCTTATTTTAGTTAGGTCACGCTGAGTGAACAGTCAGTAGACCGGCTGTTCGCAACTATATGGATGCATAGGGTATTTTTATCTTGGAACAATAATGTTTAATAAAGAAATTAATTATACTTCAAAAGTTACATGTTTATTTTTAAGCTATTGTTACGTGCACAAGTGAAATAATCAGAACCTTATACATCAAAAATAAAAATTTTTATGTGTAATCGTTATTTAGATGTGTTTAAACAACATTGTCTTGTACAATCGATACATCACAATTTTAACACTTTTTACACCTAATAAACTCAGAAATTTTACTACTTCAGTCGTAATTTCTATAATACTTGTCTGAATTTTACTAGTTCTGAACTAGTATTATAGGAATCACGACTGAATTAGGATAAATTTTTTTCTTACAATATTCAGAAAACTTTGACTGGCTAAAAATAACATTTGAAGTTACCTAGATCAATTAGAAGCCACATTTAAAAATTTGTATTCAAAACCGAATTTTATATAAATATAACACTGAGTTATTTATTATCTTACATTTAATTTTTAATCCTAGTCATTTTTAATCACAGTTGTGTATCTTTGTTTTATTATTCTTTGGATCAAAGTTATCTAACTTCAGTAACAGGTGGTCGGTCAGAAAAGTTTCCTCCTGTGCGTGGACGGTCGGCAGGACAGTCTGAACACCACCATCTAACGGTTAGCCTGACGGCCTTGCAACACTACTTGACACATGAGAGATGCGCATTCCGCAGTTTTTGTCATGAATTTTTTTCACAAGTAATTGTCTTGAAATGCGCGTGTTCCGCAATTTTTGCTGAGATGTAGAGTAGAAATATGCGTTACGCATGCCGCAGTTTTTACGGAGAAGAGTACTTGTGCATAGGTTAATTATAAGGGACGCGTGTGCCTAAATTTTTACTAAGGTATAAGTTCGATATACGAGGTGTGCATGCCACAGTTTTTTCAGTTTCATGGCATGCGTGTGCCGAATTTCTTGCTGAGGTGAGGACTCGAAATATGAGAGATGTACGCATGCCGAAGTTTTTACGGATTAATTATATATAAAATAAAGATGTACATATAGTACCACATTGTTTACTGAAGTAAAAACATATTCGCTAGAGGTATTCCGCAGTTTTTGCTGATGCATAGGTGATAATTAGATAAGCACTTACACACGTTATCTAGACCTCAGATGACCACTAAGAGTATGTCAACACGAGTGCCACCTCTCACCCCACTTTGTCTATTGCACGTATATATAGTCTGTCTTATCTACTCATGAGAACCTGCCTTCACACCCGTCTGGTGCACTGTCCGTCTGTCGCTTTGACCGGGACTCGATTCCGTAAAAGTTTGGGGTGAATGCGCTAAAGTATTTAAACTTTTTTTATGGAAACAAACCTTCCACAATTTTAATAATGAAACAAAAATTAAATTTCATTAAAAATTAGGATTAAAAATTTTGAAACCTCTATTTTCATTCCATAATGAATACAGTGGCGATAAATACTAAAACGTCTGAGAGCTTAAACNAGTATATTCTTCTTATTATTCTTATTATTAGTTATAATTAGAGTTTAAGATTCAAATTTAATATTCGTTATACCATAGGAAAGTTAATCGACGGTTTTAAGTATGGATAATTCATTCACAAATCAGAACTACGGACACTAAAGTTTACTGGAGTACTCAGTGTGGATATCGTGGGGTGAAAATAGTTTATTTAATAATCAAAACCCACGTCCTCAAAGACTATTTGGTTACTCTTCGTTACAATAACATCACCATTTGAAATAGTCTTAACTTCCGCAGGCTCCTTATTCTTTGGAACATATTGTCAACTGACTTGTAATGAAACAAAAATTAAATTTCATTAAAAATTAGGATTAAAAATTTTGAAACCTCTATTTTCATTCCATAATGAATACAGTGGCGATAAATACTAAAACGTCTGAGAGCTTAAACACTAAAAACAACTTTTTTTAATGCTTGTTAAAAAAAAAGTTTTTAAACAACAACACAATATAGGAAAGACTTTCAATTTTATCAGTTTAGAAATACAATTTCAAATTAATTGAGATCATTTCAAGTTCCAAATTAACGAAATAAAAAATTTAAGGAGCTGGCAGTATCTTACTCATTCTGAATGCACGAACTTTCAAGTGTTGCAAAAACTATTGCGGATCTTCTATAGATGGTCAACCATAAAACTGATTTTCCAAGCCTCTGCTTTACAGACTCAGACTATGGATGTCGTTATCTAAAAATTAGAGGTTAGTAAAGGATTGAGTTTATAAAAATTTTATGTGTATAGCTAGTAAATTATTGGCACAATGCTTCGTTATCGTTTTTTTTCGTAATACTTTTTTGTAAACTTTATCTATACAAGATATCATTCTTTGATCAAATTATGAAAATTTTTAATTTTTAGCAATCAATTTATATTATTTTTCGCGTATCTATTTTTTTAAATTTGTACAAAACATTTTTTTGTTAAAAATTTTGTGATCTCTAGCACTTTGCAGCATACAATATGCGAAAACAAAAAAAAATCTGATTAACATAACCAATAACATTCCCAATAAAATAGTTTCAATTAAAATGATATCTTCAAACAGTAATAAGTATTGAATAGCAAAGGAATTTTATACTTTTTTCAAAGTTATTAAATGCAATCCTAAAATACAACTAGTTATACACATATATCTTCGCGCACATAGTTTATTATTTTGTAATCATCGAAATAATGGCACTTACTTTTATAGAAAACTTTTTAACTTTTTTAATTGTTTATTTTAAAATATCTCAAAACAACAATAAAAATATGAATATTAACTTTAAAAAAAGTGATTTTTCTGAAATCGATGAAACAAAGATAAAAAAAATTAATTTACGAAAGCGAGACGTTGTTGAAAATAAAAAATTTACCAAGGGTAATAAGACCTTTTCATTTAATTTTAAGTTATGATTCATTACATCTGTATTAAATTATTCGATTCTGGCTATTTTTGTTATTACCTGTTGCAATAGCATTAGTTGTTGACAGTAGATAATTGATTAACCAGGTTAAAGCAGCTTGTGATAAACAATTCCTTTCCAGCCCCACCAAACACTCAGCATCACCTTTCTAGGCGTCAATACAAGCTTTGCAACCGTTTGTGAAGCGTTACCGGGCTTCGGCCACGATTTTTTTCGAACAGAAGTGTCGTACATGATCCACTTGTCGTTACTCATAATCATTTGGTTAAAAAATTGCTTTTCAGAGTTTATTTCGTTTAAGCAGCGATTTACAAAAGGAAGTTTGGTCCGTTAAATTTTTCTCTGTTAATTTATGTAGAACCCAAGTATCAAGCTTAGATGTAGAGAGGAGCGGAAAGTCTTTATAGACACCTTGGCTATTCCAGTGGTAGTGTCGGATTTACTTGGTATGCCTACAGACTAAAAACGAACCTCCCCATGGAAAAAAGGGCTCTAAGAGAAGAAGGAAAATAAAAATTAACGGAGAATTTCGGAGGCCAGCGCGCTCTTAAAGGGATGGGAGGAGGGGTACTTACGCATCTAAACGAAGCTTGAATATTGGTTTACGCTGAAATAGAGTAGGAGGAACTTAAATTTTGGTGTTATTGTATGTGCATCTGACATGTGAGTCCACTGTGTAGTGTGTGTTTGGAGGCGAACTTGTAATTGGTGTAAGTGTTGTATAGGGTTAAGGCCGTAAAGGATACGGCGCGCTGCGACGGGCAGATAGGTGCTCCTGACGGGAGCGAGCGAAACTGAAGTCACGATTTTTCAGGTAATCATGGAGATGCATCTGATGTAAGCATAGGGGATTGAAGACCTGGAGTATATTTGGAGATCATCAGGGTTCTGCGCGAGAGCGCGTGGGCGTCTTATAAGGTCAAAGCATCCGAGTTCGATGTTTACGAGCGTGGCGATGGTGGGGTTTGGGTGGTCCGTAATCGAAGCATGGATTTTAGATGCAAGTACAGGGACTGCTTGAATTGGAGGGACAACGTTAAACTCCTTGATAACCTGAGTATTTCTGATTTACCATGGAATATCCAGTACCAACCTCAGTGTCTTCATGAAAGGGCCTTGGATGTCGTTGGCATTACGTAGGTACTGATACTTTTGATGATGGCGTTACAGGTGCGCAGCTTGATCTTCTGAGAGACTGCTTTATTATTAAAGGAGGGCTTTAGCTACACGACTGTCTTTGCACTGGGGCAGGTTGTGGCAAAATATATTGAAAAGGGTAGATGAGAGTTTGGAGCTGTAGGGGACTCCAGAGGTTATTAGTCGGCAAGTATCAAGCTTTTTTGGTATCCAGACATATGTAAATGTTTCAAAACTCTTTTACGGTTGATTTTTAGTTTCATAGCTAGGTCGCGAAATGAAATGTATCAGTCTACCTCAATTTTTTAAAGAATTTTATCAATTTTTTAAACGATTGTCTAACTAGAGCGAGGTATACTTCTAACATCGAAATTTCTAAAACGAAAACGAGCAAACAAATTTAG